ATCTTCTTGCTCGTGTGCGCTAATTTGCTTCAGATAAATACATTTGAATATATTTATATGTATATGCTGGACAGTTCATGGCTTTGCGATAGTGCTGGGGATAATACAATCACATGATCGATGTGGTCGAAGAAGATGACATTTAAATTGTGTCGTGTTCATCTCGAACCACCCTGTAAGGCAGCAAAATATTAAAAATATTAACATAAAATTATGTTAAAAAATTTTCAAGCAATTTTCGAAATTTATTTCTGTGTCAATAAATTATAATTTTTTGTGCACATAGGGATCTACCAATAAGAAATAATTGCTATATTTGCATGAAGCACGGTCTAAGCATTAATTCCCCGTTTGTTTACTTTCGATTAGTGTCATTTAACATCCTAAATGTAGGCAACATTTTATATTCAGTATCTTAGTCATTAGCTAAAAGTACAAATTAAAAAAACATAGCCTACAATTACGCTCATTGTTTCTTAAAACCAGACAACCTATAAACTAAACTAAACTAACTTCTAAAACTTCACAACCTATAGATACATTTAATTTTCGATAACCTTGGTCTCAAAAAAAAATTATGGAAAGCACTAATTGCTTAAAATGATAAACGTTTATTAAAAAAAAATGTTAAATGTATACTAACAGCTGTGGTCTAAAAAAGGTGACATTTATATTGTAGCTCTTTGCATAGTTTTGATCATATACCGACTTACGACCAAACGGTTGAATCAATTACCAATTTATATATCTTGATTTTTTTTAATTGACCGATAGCTTGATACTAAATGTAGGCTACTTACTTCTTCGTTGTGCTTTTAATTCAAAAATGTAACATATGAACAAAACGTTGCCTATATTTAGGCATGTTATTTTATGAAAATTCTTTATACTAATCCTTTAAGAAACGTAGGCAGTCCACAGTTCAAATTGAATGTGAAGATTTTACTCACAGATTTCTTCGATTGCATTGGCGTCATGCAGCATGAGACTTAAAGGGGACAAAATAAATATTCATGAATAAATGAACACTTTCTTAAGAAATAAAAAACTCGCGATACTTCTTGAACAAACCATAAGTATTTCGCCGCCTTTTGATCCTTGTCAGTTGCAGGTGTATAAAATATTCGGTTACACACGAACTTAGCCCCTCTTTTACTAGTTTTATATATATTCAATATCATTCCTCCAAAAATTATGTAATTTAGCTTTACATTACACTTTAAGCTAAAGTGTAGTTTAATATAGCTGCAACTACTTTTTGTTCGTAAATGTTCTTTTAAGCATAATGAAGTCATAACTCACACAACATTAAGTGAGCGAGTGCAGCGCAGCTGGTGTACCTGCCTCTCACAACCAGCCAACCAACTAACGTTAATAAACAAAGAATTACGCACTTAGATAAACGTAAACAGACTGCAATGGCCCGACAGAGATAAAACGAACAAACAAAGTCGAAAAGAGTTGCTGAATAAAAATGTTCAAGGGATTATGAATAAGTTCATAAATTTCATATAACTACTTATATTCTAACTCGAACTCCTTTCCAAGCTTTCTATTCTCATTCAGCGCTTTATTCAGCTATTATTCTCTTAAGCTGAATAAATGCTGAAAGCCAGAAAGCATGTTCAACTTCAGCTATAAAGTTAAGCTAAGTGTGTTATGGTCTAGCTGAGCAGACTCTTTGAAAGTTTCAATGCGCACCATGCCTTTCAAGCAGCCACTGTATGGAAAACTTTTTTATTTAAAAAGATAATTTGGCAGGGATTATTATTTGAGGTAGCACTACAAGCTCCGAGCAAATTGTTCAGATCACACCATTATAGCATATAGCTGTCATACAAACTGACGGTTGAAAATCAATATAAATATATATATATATTTAATAAATGCTCGTTTGAAGGATATTTTAGCTACGCTGTAGTCGCAGTTAATGTTTTTTGTTACATATATATTTTTTCAAATCTTATCTAAAATTCGTCTTCGTTAGGCAAAATATGAGAAAAGAAATCCATAAGAAATAACACAAGAAAATTGCTCGATTTTTTTATATTTTAATATTTTAATTTATTTTATCACTAGAAATTGTTTTACACAAATGCATTTGGTTCCCTTTGAAGTCTGCACACCGCCGATTTCCTACATGGCCGCGATGACACATTTCTTCAGCTGCGTTAATATTTCAACGCCACGCTCCACAACTGCAATTATTATATGTTTATTAAGATTTATTATTACTACGCTATGCTTTGCTAGTCTCTGTATTTTTGTTTTTTTTTGTTGTGGCAGCTGTTGTTGTTTACCTGTGATTCAGCCAACCGAGAAGCTGTGTATTTTGCAAGCAAAGCATGGTAAATTCCATATGCGGCACTTGAGGCTGATTTAGTGCAGTTACAAGCACACACACATACATAAATATATATATGATATACTTACACATATATAAATAGCTACATAGGTATATACACTATATGCATATGCATCTATTTATAAAACCCATTCATAAGCTTAATAAGCACTTCATATTAACTGTTGATATTTGCGCGCTGTTAAAGCTTAGCCCAACTATTAAATCATAGATTATTCATAAAATGAGTCATTAAGGAAGTAGGGCGATAAACAATAATACTAATAATAATAACAGAATAATTATTTGAGCGGATTAAAGCTGAGAAAAGCTTCATTATTAAATCGGTAGAGTGGCATATTCATATGAGAAAAATTTAAATTATATAATATATAAAATCAGCTCATTGACTAAAACTAAAAAATTTTAGATGTAAGTAGTAGAACACTTCTACCAAACACTCAACCAAAAACTCATTGCAAATCAATTTAAATTCTAAAGTGAGTAAAACTCTCTCAAAATAATAACATTTCCAAGTGTATTTCAACTCAAATGACCCCATTCTATGACACGCCAAGGGTGCTGTGAACCAGAAAAAAAGTGAAGCTCTTGATATGTATGAAAGCGAAAAAAGAAAAGAAAAGTGAAATTGAAATTGAAAAGTACGAGCGTTATAGAAATGAGAATGAGTGAGTGAACTCACACACACACACACACATACACACCGTCAAGTGAAATCAAAGTTTGAAGCGCATACTCATAACTGTGAAAAGCGAAAAGTTTACCATTTCATTTTATGCAATTTTCCGCTTTTAATACTCGCATTTGTTTACATTTGGCCGAGTGCGGGCATAAAAAGTTTCGCCTAACTTGTGTTATTAATAAATATGTACTCATGTATCAGTGGTAAATGTAAGTTAGAGGCTAGAAATACTTGTATGCCATTCGCAATATTGCTGATGCGTAGAAAAGTAGAGGAAAACTTGTTTTTGTTGGTCACGGCGTATGAGTGATGTGTTTATTTATATGAGTCCTTTCAAATGACTGATGGCGGCGGGTAAAGACAAAAATATCTATATTGGCTTTATCTTAACTAATAATACGATATATTTGTTACATTTCATTACACAATTGCTTAGCTTTAAGTACATGCTTTTGTATGTGTATTTATATTGTATAAAGAACTAAGCTGACCTACTCATATTCCTAAAAATTCTTCAATTATAAATTCCATTGATTCCCGTGCAATGCTTTTCCAAATCGTTAGACTATGCTTGGAAATATTTGTATAAAAACATGATTTTGACGAAAAAAATTTTGAAATTTGCATTTGATCAAATTTGACCAGGACTGAGAAAAAACTACATTCAAAGTATTTTAACACAAATATTTATTATCGCATTTAAATAGGCTACTACTATTTCGAAATGAAATTCGTGGAATCATTGATATATTCTTTCATTATTCATGGTTCGATTTTTTGAAGCATCTGCTTTCCACAAGACTTTGGCAACTAAGCCAGTGCTACTTTAATGATCGAGAGAAAATATTATTTTTTATACAGATATAAACCGAATAGGGTTAGGACATTGTGTGCCGTCTTCTATTACAGCTTGTCATTACCTAATGTTGTTAGTGGCTTTAGACAAGGCGATTATTGGAGAATGGATTTTAGAAACACCGATGAGTGATTGGTGGGTGCTCGAGTAAAGTCAAGAAATTTTACCTAACCTAACATTTTGACTTAAAATGTTTGAATTTGACACTTCCATTGGACTTTTACTTGCTTAATAAACGTTTCGAAATCTCCTTTTCTCCAGGCAAGTAATTGAGTTTTGAATACTTGCCTTTCGACTGAATCATCTTCATTTGTAAACAAATTTATTCACACCTCCATTTTCATCACTAAATAATTGCAAAACTTTAAAAAGTTAAACGCCACAATAAAGCCATTAAAGCTCTACTTTGTTGTTGATGCTTTTTTCAAAATCTTTTAAAGCGGCGGCATAAACATTGGCTTATATGTCGTTTACAAGCCATTTGCTGCTAGTTGACAAACAATCTAGACCGAAAAAACAAAAACAATGCAAAAGAAAATAAAAGCAATGAAAGCAAAAACCGTTGAAAAAATACCATTAACAGCGGCTGCTAGCACAGCATAAAGTGCCAGCGTGTTGCAGACCACAAACCGGAAGTGATTTATAAAGGCGTCCAAAGACTATTGACAAACTCTGCCAAGCGCATTAAAAGGCAAAGCGACCAAACTAAGCTAGTAAGAGCGGAGGAATTGCGCTTTCCACTTTTAAAGCTCGCGCGAGTCGTGGTCATTTATATTGCAGAAGACTATTTAAAAATTCGGAAAAATATCAGTTTTGGTTGGTAAATGGAATTGAGCTTAAGGAGAAAGGATGAGTGAAAACCAGAAACAAAAACGTTAATTTCGGCTGAACCGAAGATATAGTGCATTTCTTATAACATAAAAGGGTATAAATAGATCTTTAAATTTGATTTTGGTTTGGTCGTTTATATGGCGGCTATATGCTATAACGGCCAGATTTTAACAATTTCTTCGGAGATTGTAGCGTAGCTTTGGACAATAAGATATTTTGTCAAATAAAAAAGTTTTCCATACAAAAACTTTATTTTGATCGTTCAGTTTGTATGACAGCTATGTGCTATAGAGGTCCGATAATTGGATTAATGCGTTGGTATGCTTGTATGGGCTCGAGACACTATTTTGAAGGCGATAATAAAAATTTGTTGTCAGTCCGGTTCAATTTTGATCAGATGGTATAAATAATTTTTTATGCGTTAAAAATATTTTTTTTTGAGCAGAAGTATGATATTTTAAGAATAAATATTAATATTTATTAATAATGTTTTAAGAGTTAAAAATATATTTTGGTGAGAGAAAGTATGACTTTTGAAGAATTAATATTTTTTCTGAAAGAAGTTATTTTTTTTCGAGCAAAACTATAAGATTAAAATTATGCGTTATGAATATTTTTTTCTGAGCAGAAGTATGATATTTTAAGAATAAATATTAATATTTAATAATAATTTTTTAAGAGTTCAAAATATATTTTTCTGAAAAACAGTATGATTTTTGAACAATAAAATTAGATAAAAAATTTTTTGTCTGAAAGAAAAGTTATTTTTTTCGAGCAAAACTATAAGATAATTAATTATTTCTGAGAAAACCATATTTTTTTTTCACACACTGCATATATTCTAAGCTTAATTGGTTCTCTTATTATATTTAAACAGCTAAAGTTATATCTAATTGACATGTAGAGGCTTAAATATCTAACGCATGCGCTTTCAAATAATTTAACACAGTTGCAACTTTAACTAAAATCTCCTAATTAGTGCCAAAAAGCTAATAATTTTACATACAACTTACTAAAACTGTGTTGAATACAAACTTATATATACAATATGCAGCTTAAATCTGCCAGCGAGTGCGCAACACAAACACAATTTACATATTTATATAGAACTACTAGTGAGGCAACGGTTGAACATCACAATTCCAAACTGGCAAACCACGACACACGTACGGCACGGTGTTGTAATGTCGGGTTTCATAGCGGCGTTGATGTATGCGCGCCAAAATAGCGCACAAGCTGCCTTGCTGATAGCAGGGAGTGTCAGCGACGGAGGGTAGATCATTTTTATAAGCTGAAAATATTTTATTTTCATACAAATTGTGGCTGTGTGTTTAACTATCAAGTATGCTTACGCTTGATTACACCTTCCTTGAGCCAGCTGCAGCGATCGATGCATTGCCAAGCGTAGACGCTGCTCGATTTGGGCGCTATCCAGCGACTAAGAATTTCTGTGGCAACGCCATCCATATTAGCGTCCAAGCCAGGCATCAGTGTGCCCACCAAAGTTGGGCTGCAAAGCAGAGAATATACATATATGTAAGTGTGTCTAAAAAAACAACAACACACCAAGAACAGCAAAAAAAAAAAACTTTGTTGTAAAAAAAAAAACAAATAATTTGCTGTTGTTGTTGTGTGCACAAAAGTTTTTTAATTAAACCAGCACGGCCTGAACTATTTCTCTGGCCGTCATCATACGGTATACTACTCACCACTTGGCAGCATGGTAATACAAATGCGAACCCACTAATTCGCTGTAGAGGCCATTTGAATGCAAACGTGACGAGTCACAACCGAAAAGGAACACCACACAATCCATTTGTTGACGGGCGATATATTTGCCATTGATATATTGCAAGCCGGAGCCGTGACCAGCGTACCTACACATACACACATACAATACATGCAAAAGAAAGTGGAAGCGTGCAATTAGTCTAATTGAATTTTGATGCAAACACAAAAATCCAAAATTGAAAAACAAAAAAAAAATCGCATGGAATTTTTTAATTTAAATGTTAGTGGCTGATAGAAAAATTTGGCGTTTTTGCTGTAACTAGCAAAAATTAATCAATAGCAGTAAAACAACAAGAAAAAGAGGTAACTTCGGCTCTACCGAAACTAGAATAACCTTCACGGATGCATTTCTTATAGCTTAAAAAGATAAATATTAAATAAAAATAAAGATAAATGAAAAAAAATATCTTAATAATGATCGGTCAGTTTGTATGGCAGGTATATGCTTTAGAGGTCGGATCTGTACAATTTGTTTGGAGATTATAGCGTTGCCTTAGAAAATAATTTATGCCAAATTCTGTGAAGATATCTTCTTGTGTAAAAAAGTTTTCCATAGAAAGACTTTATTTTTATCGAACAGTTTGTATGGCAGCTATATGCTATAGTGGTCCGATCTGAACAATTTGTTTGTAGATTGTAGCACTAACTTAGATAATAATCTATGTCAAATTTCGTGTTGATATCTTATCAAATAAAAAAGTTTTCCATACAAGAACTGATTATTGTGATCAGTCAGTATATATGACAACTATATGCTACAGTGTTTCGATCCGAATATTTTGTTCGGAGATTGTAGCGTAGCTTTGGACAATAATTGATGCCAAATTTCGTTAAGATATTTTGTCAAATGAAAAAGTTTCGCATACAAGTACTTGATTCCGATTGTTCAGTTTGTATGACAGCTATATGCTATAGTTGTTCGATATTAGCGATTACGACAAATAAGTAACTTCTTGGGGAGAAAGGAACATGTACTAAAAATCAGTGCCATATCTCAAAAAGTGAGGCCGAAGGGATTCAGTAGGCGCGGTTGTTTTCTCGTTTAGCTTGGCTAATAAGTTTAATAAAAAATATATTGCGAAATTGGTCGCAGAATTATAACATATATCATAACGAAACCACGCATTGTACAATACATAAGTAAGGTCGTCTATATAAATGTAATATTAAACTACTCTCAAAGATTGATTTTACTGCCGTCATTCGTTAGGGCCTTTTAGTAGTTTCGAAAATGCCGTTATGTGATAGGTGGGTTTAATTGAAACTTCCTAGTTTAAAACGCAACTAAACTTTCGTACTTTGAAGCTTTGAATAACGGGTTTGTGGGCGTGGCTATAGGCTGACTACACCAAGTTACGAACACATTACGTCCAGACCGCGGTCGGACGAATCTTCTCTATTCATTTCAATTACTTAAATAACTACATATACCTCTTTTCTGAATATAATACTACTTTGCCATATATATTACAAACAAGCGTTAGATAAACAAAACTAGTACGATCGTTTCCACAGAGTGTATAATATCGCTGACAAATTAAAAGCTTATTTCGAAATACTTTACAAAAGCATAAAGAACATTTAACGATAATTAGATGAAAGGATTATAGTTCAGAGACTACCAACTATAAACTCAAAAGTCGATTAACCTCTTTGTGTGTATTAAATGGTAAAGGTAAACGTGCAACATAATTAGCAACACCAAAATGCTTACACATAACAGCTGCGCTTGAAGAAGTCCTTAAGCAGTTCATCCTGTGTTGGCTTCTGTCCGACTTTTCGCTGCCAATGCGGTAGCCAATACTCGAAAAAGGAGCGCATGCGTGTCTCGGTTTTTGGCAAATTGTTATCTACAAAGGCATTAAGCAAGTAAATGGTTGCCACGTGGAGATGGAGATGAAGATTGCATAAAGAGGAAGCGCAAGTAATTAAAATTAATACCGCAATTAATTCGTGGTGAAGTGCAAAAAAACGTACCGGGATTCAGCAGGCAACCACCGTCCACAATGTTGACGGGTAAATAACCGCGATGCATACGCTCACCATAGAGACTGTGTAGACGCCAGAGACATTGTAGAGAATTGACACGGCAAAATTCTTGTTGAGTATTTATTTCCTCCCAAAAGAAATGATCAAGACGCTGTAAGCGACAGTAAATAGATTGCGTTAAAGCGCTTAATTTACAAGCATTTTTTTTTTTTTTTGGATGAATATACACACCTCATCCACAATTAAAATGACGGGATAGTGATGAGTGGAGGGACCTGTTGGTGCGCCACTATTGTCGCCTTCAGCAATACCTTCAGCGCCTGCTGCTGTTTAGGGAATAAAATTATAAAAATTTAGTAAAAAGTAAGTTACAATGTAACCACAAATGCTTAGTAAAATTGCTTACGCGCATTTTGTAGCTTCAGTAGTAATTTAGCAGCGTTACTCCTTTCGCGTTCGCTGCTGGTGAGCAAAGCGCAAATTGCATGAATTTCGAGTTCAGACAGCGCATCGACATTCATGGCGGTCAAGGAGAGCAATACATGTTCCTTTACTGCCCAGCGATGCTCGTTGCAAAAGTCATCGACACTGGCGAATGCTTGCTTTTGCTGCGTCATTAGCGCATTGGCTTCCGGCGAAGGTCTCATGTACGATTGGCCAGTGAAGAGAAAACTCCAAGGGAAAAAGAAATTCTTCAACTCTTTCAGCACTTGCTGCAATCAAACAAATCATTTATGTATATAGTAAATTGCGCAGTAATATAGCTGTGTTTTTAATTACCGCAATATATTGATCTAATTCCGTCAGCATATCCCAATACATTTTTTTCGATTCTTTTGTGTTGTACTCTTTGGGATCAACATTAATGCATTGCCTAAATTGATTTGCAATATTGGCGTATTTTCGAAAAAGTTCCTTCTGCTCTGGACCGCTAAAGCGCAGGCTAATCGGTGTGGGATATTCAGCACTACGTACATGCCTTAACACAGTTACATAAATGCTCGCATCCAATTCATGAATTTGTGGATAAACTGAATATGTTGTCTCCGTACGCGGGCCTTTACACAATTGCAATATTGTCCACTCTAAATGTTAACAAAATTATAGTTTTTAAAAGCAACTAAACATCTTTGAAAAGTATGCAACAACCTTTTGGCATTTCTTGACAAATTTCCTCTATTTTCTGCACGCCTTTTAATGGATTTATGATGTTTTGTAAAAAGTTGCACGTTGTATTTTGTGATTTGCCATTGGCGCTTGGTTGCTTCCCGTTATATAGTTTTTTCACCACATACTGCATAAACGGATTACTAGAAATATTAAAAAAGTTTATTATAGAATTTACTATTTAATATAATTATTTTCACCTTTTCAAATCTTCTTTTTCCCACTCATTCATTTCACTACATAGTTTATCTGCCAATGTGCGTTTGCTATCGCCCTGCTCATTATTAAACTTCGCTTCAATTTGAAAGTAGCGTTCCTCTGAGGCTTGATATAATGCTCGCACTTGATAAAATATCGAATTCAGCAGATTTCCATTATTAAATTCATTTTCTGCTTGATCTAGAAAAAACTCTGTGGAATAAACATGTCATTATTTTCAGTAAGTTTGCAATGCTCAAAATTTCACCTTTGGCGTTTGGCCCTGTATTTACAGCGACATTGTCTTTCAATAAATATTGCACAATATCTTCATCCATTTCCAACTGGTTGTTTTTTTGTTGCTTAAAAATACAAGAAATATTACAATCAACAAATATTAATTAAACAATTTAAAATACTTGGCGCCGCACAATTGTAAACAATTGTCAGAATTTGATTTTGACAGATGCACTTTAGCACAGGGTACATGGAAAGTTACAAAATAAATTGAATATGCAGGGTGGTACTTCTAAAATTAAAAAAAGGGTGCATTGAAATCAAATTTGTTGTGGCGTTTTTTTAGCAGAATTTTTGGTTCCGTAAAAAAAGTTTAATTAAAAACTTTCTAGTTAATTAAACAAGTGGGCCTTATCTTATATAGAGTATTAAACAATATCTATTAAGCTCAGACTGAATTGTATTCAACTCTTCCGAACAAACACCCTGCCTTTTTTTCTTTTTATCCAATGCCTTCCAAACTGTTTGTTATATAATAAAAAAAAATCCAATTAGCGTAAACACGACCCTGTGTAACGCCGGTTCCGATCAGCTGGTCTAAATGGCGTTAACGCCTCAGCGTTAAATGAAAGTTTTCAAAAATTGTTAAAATCTACTAGAAATTATACTATCTAATTGATTTTTTTTTTAAGTTAAAGTAAGTGTAACTGAAGACAGTGTTAATATGCGTTATATAACCATCATTTTATGCATATGGAAATATTTGCTTCATACGAAAAGGTAATTTGGAGCGCTGAGAACTAATCAACTCCTATGTTTTATCTATAAAGCGTTGTATTAAACTAAAAATTCGCTATGTAATCACGTTTAATTGGCGCTAGCTTTTACACAACCTAAGAGTGATCCAGTTTAAAATACTTTTAGTTTTCACGTACCAAGAGCTGTATTGGGCACTTCAGTTTTGCGACGGAAATATTTACCGGATACCTACAAACATGCACCAGTACATACAATTTTCAAAAATAATCTGCATATTTACATTGCACTGAGAAAAAAAGCGCTGTCGAATGTAAGCTACAAACCTTAACAAATCTTATCGACTACTTATTACTTATATTTTTATCTTTTCAGGTAAAATATTTATTACTAGCTTTTTCCCGCGGCTTCGCTCGCATCGAATCCATATTTGTGTTATTTCTCTGATTTACGTGTTTTATACATTTATGTTTTCTTTCATTTTTAATTTTTTCGACAAACAATCATTTCTGCCAAACTTTTTTTTTTCAATTTCAAAATTTTCAAATTTATTTTCCAAACATATATAAACTTCCAAAATAATTTTTTTAATAATCCGTAAAAAATTTATAAATTTTGTAATAAAAAGTATCCTATGTTCATTCTGACACCTCTAAGAGTATATGTTCAAAATTTCATGATGATCTGTTAAGTAGTTTTTGCGTGAAAGCTTAACAAACAAACGGACTTTCGCATTTATAATATTAGTATAGATTTACAACATTCTGTGAAATTAATAATTAATATTAAGTGCATATTGTTCCATACATGGCTTATGTACATAACATTCGCACTTCATCACCTAATTGACATTATGGTCCCTTGTGATAATGACGAAGTGTTACTTTTGAGAATCGCCTGTGTGTATCCACAATGAAGGATGACGAGGTAAACTTGTAAATCAAATTAATGTGGTGATTTAATGCTAAACATGATTAAAGCTAATCAACTTAAGTGTAAAACAAAAACACCAACAGCGCTGACATGAACCACAACATGACGCTTACCTGTGTTGCAGCATGAAAATCACAAACATACATACATACTCGTATGTACATAAGTACATACACACCTTACTTTTAGTGAGTTTGCAAAATGTGCACAGCTTTGCCGCCCCGAAATGATTTCCCTAAACATAGGGCACTTAACAGCGCCGGCTCGTAGTGCCAAGTACAAAACAGCCAGGTGGTCGCTATCAGCCAACAACAAAACGTATTGTGGCAGCAATCAAGTCATTAATCAAACTAAACACAGGACAATGTTGTTCATAGCATAGTCCGTCCTTCGAAGTTGCGCTGTCTTGCTCGGCTTTGTGTTTCGATGTAGTTTTTTGTTGCTGCGAAGAGCCAATTTACGTTTGCTTAAAGTTGTTGTTGTTGGAAAGTTGTTTTCTAAGCGAACGTAAGCACTTGTAGGGGAAATCGGGAATTGAAGTTGCTTTTTGTTCTTAATGGTCTAATTACGGCACTTGTGGGCGCAAATACTTTTGCACATTTAAAGCAAAACTAAATTATCTTTTAGTATACTAAATTGTTCAAAGCAATAAATAATTTTTATGATTGTTTTATAAAGAGGAATATTTTATTATTAGTTCAGTTCTTTCTGTATCTCTTCACTGCGTAGTTGAATGTGCTTTGTTTAGGTTTAAAATACATATTGAGGTTAGGGTCTCGCTCAAGTTTAAAATATTCTCTTTGTTATTGGATTTGAAAATACGATTTTTATAGGTTAGGAAGGAAAATTATAGTTTTTAACTTGGCTTTTATGTAAACTGTTGTGTTTCTGCGAACAAAAATCAGAATACTATTAATTATTTTCATTTGTAAGCAGTTCGAAGACTCAGAAAATTGTTTTTATATTTATTTTAAAGCTTATATGTAGGAATGTTTTTAATTGCAGCTATTTAAACATGGTTAAGGAATAAATTAGCTATTTTAGCATATATGTATATTTGCAAAAATTAAATTGACAAATATTTTATGTACTGTAAATCAGGGTTGCGCATTTTTGAGTCGAAAAATTTTATATAAAAAATCAGATTTTAATATTTTAGTTCCATTTGTATTGAAAATTAAATGTTTTTGTTCCGATTTTGAGATCCAAGATGTGATTAAAAATTAAATGATAATTAAGATTAAGAATTTCAAGATATTTGTAATAAAAAATTTAAAATTTTATTTTTAATTTAATAATAAATATTGAAAAAGATATTTATAATTAAAAATTTAACATTTTATAATGAATATTGAAAATTAAATTTTTAGTACCCAAACATCTTGGATTAAAAATTGAAAAAATATTTTTATATTTAAAAATTAGAGAAAATATATATATGTATTTTAATTTAAATATTATAGTAACAAGTAAAGAATATATTTTTCAAACTAAAAGCGGCAATTACATTGCAGTATTTATTTATACCATTTCCTCTTTATTCCTATTTAATATTTTACGATAATGTCATGATTTTTATTGATCTTGTGTATAGAATAATATAATATTATAGATTATTTTGTTCTTATGCTTCTAATTTTCAGAGAGAGAGACCTATTTGAAATAGATATATGGTAAATCTTCGTGGTTCTAGTGTTAAAAGCAATTAAAAATATATTATAAGGCTAAAAGGTCTAAACTAGGGGGACTAAAAGGGAATGAATTCGAAAATAATTTTTCTTTTTTTTTTGAAATTATGATAATAAGCTTGGTTTAAAAAATTTTTTCGTTTTTTTTATGAAAAAATAGTTAAAAAATAAATTTTATTTTCGTTTTTTGGAAATCAAATCTTTTTTTTTTAACGGAAAAAAAAATTTCTGATTCCAAGCTTGTAATCAAAAATATTTAGATCCCCAAAAATTTAATTAAATTTTTTTTAAATTTTGTCTTATTTTTAAATTAATAATGAAAATTGAAAATTTAATTTTTATTCCTTTGGATTAAAAATTGTAAAAAAACTATTTTATTTCAAATTCGAAAAAATATTTTTTTTTGATTTAAAAAGTTCTGATCACAAGCTTTTAATTAAAAGTGTTTTGAATCCTAAAAATCAAATTAAAATTTTTTTTGGATTTGACGTTTTTTTAATTTAATAATGAAAATTGAAAAATAAATTTTTATTTTCTTGGATTAAAAATTAGTGAAAACAATTTTTTTTTTTTAAATGTAAATACGAAAACAATTTATTTATTTAACTTTTGATTCTAAGCTTGTATTTAAAAAATGTTTGCTGTTGTTTTTATAAAAAAAATAATTTATAATAATATATATATAAAAATAAAATTTTAAACCAATTTTTGGAACTCAAATATTTTTTTTTATAAAAACAAAACGAAAAAAAAATTTAATGCCAAGCTTATAATGAAAACAAATTTGATTCGAGAAGAACCGGAAAAAATTTCGATTCTTGTGACCAAATTTTTTTTTTTTTAATTAAATTTTAATTTTTAAACCGATTTTTCGGATTCCAAATTTTTTATCAATCCGGTATTTGGAAATTTTTAAAAATTATTTTTAATTAAGATTTCGAAATACAAATCAAAAGAAAATGTTCATTCAAATGTTATTTCAATTGCAACCCTGCTGTCGAACTATATTTATTGTTTTGTTTCTGTGACTTTCAATTAAAAATTTCATATTTTGGCTATAAAGTGCTTATATATTTGTGTCTACATATACATACATATGTATGTTTCTATGTTAGCGCGATTCAATTCAACTTTGAACTCACTCTCCGCAACACTTAGTCGATTGAGCAGAGTTCAGAGTACAGTAATTCTAAATTCGCAGTTCACTGAGCTGTAAGACAAACACACCGATTCATAAAAGCAATTAAAAGTTTAATTAGTATCGGGTGTAACATTACGAAGATTTACGCGTGTTGGTGAGTAGAATGTAGATAAAAATTTGAAATGCTCAGCGCCAAAGTGAACGCGCGAGAAGTCAGCAAATGTGTCAGAAAAAGGGCAAGATAGGATTTGAAAGCACCTGAGTGTATATATATATATATGTATATGTATGATACTTTTGTTTTTCTGATCCTTTTCTAATTCGGCTTCTTTTACTTTCCTTTGTCTATTGCAGGTAAGCGCGAAATAATGGCTGAACTTTCTATATAGCGATTTTAGCAAGGCGTACTGAAAGTATGCAAGTAAGTTATCATAATAAAATTAAAGAAACATAGAATACGAGTATATTGCAAAAAATCACGAAGCATGCGATTGCCAACTGGCAGCTTCGTGTCTATGCGCTCCAACAATTTTCTAAGCCAACCACATTTAGGTTAGGTACGCCCACTAGGCGAAGGCTCTGTGAGGTTTACTCACTTTCGCTGTTTTTAATACCAATTTATACAAAAAATTTTCAAATTCTCACAAAAATATCATTTATGGGTCCCAAGTAAGCCAAATAATATGTAAAAATATACGCTGATAGCACGAGACAAAAGGGTTTGAGCCAAGTTATGTGAAATGG